TGTTGAGGAGTCTGAGATGGAGTATGATTGAGTTGGGCTGATTGTTGGCTAGGTTGTTGAGTTGTTGTGTCCTTACAAGTAGATTTGTAATGTCCTGCTTTCTTACACCTACTACACTTCACCAGAAAACGTGTTCTTCTCAATTTGCGAGCAGACCCATCAATTTCACCTTGTTCTAAGTTCCTCCTCTTTTTAGGTCTACCTGGAATCTTCCTGAACTTGGGTGGTTACACATCTGGGTATGATGTATTAACCCACAAGTTTGCTCCATTAACAGGGTAGATCACATGCTTATAAACTGCCTTGTACCTTGCTTCATTGGGCAAAATATCATTCTCATCCAAAGTTCCAAATCTCAGTATGTTATTTGCCCGTCTCTCCATCATGTATGTTCTGATGTCTTCTAACATAGTGATTAAAGGTTTTACCATTGCTTCAAGAATGACACTATTAAAGGACTCAGACATGTTGTTGAGAACAACATCACATTTGTTTTCAGTCCTAAAGTAAGATCTACTCCAAAACCTTGGTGGGATCTTCATCATATGTTTAAATGCTTCTTCATTGATGGCCCTCATTCCCTTCATCTCTTTTTCCCATGCCTGTGGGTATGTTGACTTGGCAGCCTTCCATATTATGTCCTTCAACATCTTTCCAGGAAACTTTTTTCTAAAATTGTTATAAAGGTTCCTAACACAAAACTTGTGCTCCACCCTTGGCAATAACTCATCCATAACAGGTAGCAGACCCTGCAATAACATACAATGTAGCATTACAATATAGCATAACAGAAATAGCATAACATAAACACCTAAACACATTAACACATAAAACCATAAGAATAAATGAAAAACTTGCCTTTTGTTGGTCTGAGATGAAGGTGTAAGTCAGGCATTCATCTTTGCCTCCAAGGTCATCAATTAATAGCTCTAAAAACCAAGTCCAATTATCCTTGTTTTCACTCTCCACAACTGCATATGCTATGGGAAGCATCTGATCATTAGGATCCGTCCCAATGGCAGCTAGTATCTGCCCTCCATACAACCCCTTAAGAAAACACCCATCTAGACCTATTACATGCCTGCACAACTTAAAGCTTTCCTTACACGCAGCAAAACATATGTAAAGCCTTCTAAAATATGGTCTTTCATCCTCAACACCTACTTGTACAGGCTCAACATTGAGCTTAACTGTTGACCCTAGATTGGCTCTTAACAGTTCATGACAGTAGTCATGGACCCTTGTGTAATCTCCCAAAAAGGAACCATCTACGTAGTCTCTAGTTGCAAATCTTGCTCTTATAGCTTTGGTTTTGTTGACCCCAACATTCCACTTTTTTTGTGCCTTCTCCTTGATATCCTTTATACTCAACCTCAGATTGTTTTTCAAACTATTTTGAATTCTTTTACTCAACCACTTTGTACTCATCAGCTTCATATTATACTCTCTACTGCAACTGTGTTTATCAATTACTTTCCTGAGTTGTCAAGTGTCTTCAGTTGACAACTTGCTACAATAAGCCTCCCATTCACAACCAACTTTACATCTAACCCTTACCCTAACTCTGTCATTTTTTACAAACCTTAGGTCTCTACCATTTTGAACAGCATAAGTTGTTATTGCTTCCCTAAAATCATCCTTTGAACTAAAGTAAATTCCCACATCCCACTTGTAATCTGACATGTCTTTTGCCTGTCTGAAAATTTGATGTTTTTTTCTTACAACTCCACTGCTATCATCACTGTCACAACCACTTTGTATTTCTTCATTGTCATTGTCACTTCCTTTACCATCATTTTCTACAACTTCTCCATTACCATCATTTTCATGACCAACTAGGGCATCAAGTTCATCCTCCCTAATCTCATCACACCCATCAGACTCATCCTCAAAAGCAACATCTTCTGCGCTATCATAATTGTAGTCCTCATCTTCAATCTTCAATCGTCTTCTTCTTGAATCGTCTTCAATCTTCAATCCTCTGCTCTTGAATCGTGCCTTCTTCTTCTGGGTAATGGTGGGTAATGAAAGCTTGAATCGTTCCCTCTTCTTCCTCTAAGACACTTCACTTCCACGTCAGCACTCCACCTGGACAAACGTGACAATTTTTTCAAAAATAAACGAACGGCAACACACGGAAGGATAAACGTGACTCCATTTTAAAAGTTAACCAAATTGCCACTTTTTAAAGATAAGGGACCAACATGGACCCCGAGCTAAAGTTAAGGGACCAAAAAAGTTATTTTGCCAAAAATTAAATAGAACGTTGAGAGATACATAAGGAAATGTCATATCTATTATACCACTAGATATTTTCCTCGTTCTTAATATAAATATGGTTACACTAAAAAATGTGTTCATTTGCAGTGGTGATTTGGGTGAAGGAAAATGTTATTATTAAGATTTTTATTTTGCTCGGTATTTGTATTTAAGATAAATCTAAATTTGTTTGCACAAAACCACACTAAAAAATGTGTTCATTTGCCGTGGTGATTTGGGTGAAGGAAGAGGTTATTATTAAAAAAAATATTCTTTAAATGGTGATTTGAGTGAATGATGAGGAATGTCTTGTGTAATTAGTGAATAAAGGTGAAGGAAAAAGAAAAAGAGAGAAATGGAGATTAAGAGATAACATTTTTTTAAATAATAATGAAAGAAGAAAAGAAGGGAAGAAAAAGATATGAGATAAAAATTGAGATACGAGTCCCACGTTCTATTTTTATTTTCACTTATTTTCACTCAAATATGAGAGGGAAGTTCTATAAAGACAATGGTGTCTAAAAGACAATATTGTCCTTATTATAAAATATATTTTATTAATATGAAGAAAATAAATAGTAACACATATATTGATATTTATGCTCTTGTTTACTATTATTTTTAGTAAACAATCACGAACTTTAGTTCGTTTAATGAATTAAATTTGAAAATATCTTACAAATTATTTATGTAGAAAAATACAATAATAAGTGTTCGTTATTTATTCTTAAATATTTGAATGTTGACAAACTAAACATAAAGTCTTGAATGAAACAATGTAAAATTTCTTTGGAGAAAGAAAAATAGACAAAAAGTATAATAAATGTTATAAAGGTAAATACTTCAATTGATAAGACTTCAAGAATATAAAGAAAGGATGTTGACATACATTTTCTCACAAATTATTTATGTACGTGACTTTGTTACTTTAGTTCTATAGAGAATAAATGAAATTTGTGACACTTGATCACAATAATGAGGTCAACTTATATACTAATACAATGTTAACCGTCCACAATAGTTATCTCCACATAACTTCACATGTATCCCCTTATATGGGTTTTAGCCTTCTAGTTTGCCTCCACACGTCTTCAATGTTGAAACTGCTGCAAATCACCCATCATGCTGATAATTGTCTTTGAACCCTCTAAGTACCTATGTCGAGAATCAGTAGTTGACTCATACCTTAAAATCACCTAATCGTTGGACTTAAGAATATCCCAAGTCTCCAACAATCACGTGAACGTGTCGAACCAGACACCTCTACACTCCATCTCCACGTCGAAGTGTTGATTAGTGAAAATATTTTCAAAATTCTGGACATATTTTGAAGAGAGAATGATTATAATCTTATGGATTTATTCATGAGACTCTTTGAAACCAGGTTTCGTGAACGTAAGTGTGTATATAAAAAAATTATATAGATATTTAGTGAGATTCATTTTAAAGTTTTAGATAAATTATATAGATATTTGAAAAATATAAATGAATTGTTTAAATAATAAAAAAGTGTAAAATAATATAAAAAAATTTAGTAGGATCTAATTAAAGAATTAAAATGGAACTAAACGCAAGTGTTTTCATTTTCATTCTTCCACTTTCTTTCCTTTAGCTTTCTATTCCAATCTGAACAAATCATTAGGTTGATAATTGAAGTACAACATTGGGACAAATCCTTACAGCTCTCATTTTCTTTCTTTAAACTTTCTATCCTTCAATTTCTTTTCTTTAGCTTTCTATTCTAATCCCTTAAATACTATGGTTGATAGATATGTCCCGGCTGACTTTTTTTTAGTGGAACCAGTATTGCCAGTCAAATTATTTATACTCTTTGTAATTGTTTGCAAAAATTTATATTCAACAAATTTTAAATGTTGCATATAACACGATAACATTCACATCACAAAAACATATATTCGTTTTCAAAATTCAATCTATTTTTAAAACAGTCAACCGGGAATAAGAACCTTGGAATATTACTTTTGTATGTACCAATTCATTTCTTGAAATTTGCAGCTCTGAACCACAGAAAGAGAATCAACCAGAGATAAATATAATTAAGCCTTGTAATTGGAATCTGACGCTGTTTGTCATTATTCTTTTCATTAGTCCTTAAATATTTTCTTATTCAAACTATAGAAATAAGAATTCACGTTGCTTTTCTCTCTTATGCTCTCTCCTAATCGGATCTCATGCATCACTCACTGCACATGATGCTTCAACTATACAATCATTGGATCTAAGACAAAAATTTTCAAGTTTCTATACTATATAGAGGATCGAAATCCCTATCATGCACAACGTATAAACATTCTCCTGAATAATTTTGCAAAAAACGTAGAGTATCGGAGAACGATTAAAGTCAAACCATTCCACATAACCTAGAGTGCGTCCATGATAATTTGACACTGTACACACAAGTTTTAGAATCTGGAAAACCATCAATATTTGCAAGATAATATCCGTGCAATGGAAACAAAACTATAAGAGAAGCAAAAAAGAATTACCGATACACATGAATAGAATGGAACACTAAGGGAAGAAGAAAGATGATCGACAATTTGATTCATATCCAAACTTGAGAACCAGTTTGCATAAAATTAGATGTACAAGCACAAGAATGTCTTGTAATGAGTTTGTGTCGCGGATTTAATACATACAAGATGAAGAGTTAATATATCAGCATAATCACAAGACAATTCTTGTAGTTGTCAACCTTTTTTGTCTCCATCAAAGTAAGGCTAGCCAGACTTGAAAAGCAAAACCGCTTTCTGGTCCAAATAGAAATAAACAAAGTGGTTTGTTTCATGCGTCACATAGGAACCTGCAAAAAGAAAGATATTTACATGAACACGCTTCAATCATTATCTTGGTTTGTCATTTGAATCATTAAAATACCCTATAAAAGAATATCATTAGGCTTGCCAGTTAGCAGAACCAAACAATTATATCATCATTTGTTTTAGCAGTAAGAGTTTTGTCTGAAAAATAAGATTAAATGGAAATGGCATGATATCTATGTGTTTGGTTGTGCATTACAAAAATGGTATAGGACTTGCATCAACAACTTCATGGTTTTGATATCTAAAACAGGAGCTAAATCCAAGCCATGATTGTGCAGGACTGCTAACCCCTGCAGTTCCTCCATCCCTATGAAGCCCATCTAATAGTTAAGATGTGGAGAATGACAGAATAGAAATCAGATACGCAGATAACGAAAGTTGCAGACTCAAGTTGAGCAGGTAGTGAATTTTATGTACATATTCACACTAATGAAGAACTCAAGAGATTCATAATTGACTTCTTTTTTTCCGTATTATTATAAAAATAGTATATTGGTTTATGCCAAACAGAAAATAAAACCAGTATTATAGAATATATGAAAAGTATAAACCCTACTCTCAAATGTATTAGCATTCATATCGCAAATTGATACGCGTGCTTGTTCTATTCTGTAATATCAAAAGCATAATTTGAAATTAGAATCATATATTACATAGGCATTACTTTCACGAAGAAAGTATTTACCATATGGGAGGTGAGAGCATACAACTGCAGTAAACAACATTAAGATAGAAACAACAAAATGTTGGATGTGGGAAAGATACAATCTAGTAAACTGTAAATGAAAACTGTTTTGGTGTACTAGTAGTCATAGAAACTGCTCAATTTGATAACACTCTTAAAACTTTTTAAGGTCCTATCTTGTCAAACCTATTCTGTTCCCAGCAAACTCAACCTAATCTGAAAATCAACAAACTCAATACTTTTTTTTTTCCACCGAGGGGAAACCTTAGAGAAATGACTTCAAATTGGTATGATAAAATGACACAGCTATTCCATTGAAGAGGAAAAGAACACAAACAAACAAAAAAACTGCAAAGAACACAAAATACTAAGTGGTCCTATACTCCTGTGATCGAACTCAGCTGGACCACGTTCAATTGTCATCCAAGAGTTCCCAACTCTAGAATTACTCATCTCGAAAAAGCTATAACTCCCTAATTTGCACACAGATACCAGAAATAATTCAATAACGTGTAGGTGTCCAGATACGCCATTGATCTAAAGTATTTAGACTTTCTAATTAACATCAAACTTGAATTTCCACCGGACAAAGGAGTATTCTCTCATACCGAAACTACAAATTCAAGTAAAAAGAAAACAATGCGAAAAGCTAAAGCAATACAGCTTAAGAGGTCCAGTGGAACTCAAAATGAGCATCATTTGAGCTAGTAGCAGCCGACGCCAAGTAACAACGAATACAAAAAAATAGTAGGTAGAAAAATCTAGGTTTTCAACATTATTACTACTCTGAGTAAGAAATTGGTAAAAATCAAGAGCATTTGCAGAACAGAAAGAAGAAATCAAAGTAAAGAACGAGTGAATTAAGCATAGATTAGATCTAATTGAGGAAAAAAGAATACCGAAATTGCGACCGACGATGCAATGCCAAGTAGGACCGTGCCTCTTATCAAACTCCTTCTTTATAGTCTCTGCAACATCTTTCTCTACGTTGTGTCTCTCAAAAGCCTAATTCAATTTCACAACAATAACAATCGGAAAAGAAAATACAGTGAAAAACAGAGAAGAAAAGGTGAATGTTGAAGACTAAAAAGAGACTAACCAGAACGGCGATATCAACGGCCTCTTTTTGCATGTCGGGGAGCATATCGGCGCTTTTGATTATGACTTTCTTAGTTGCGGGTGGCGCCGGAGAAGCCGATGCAGAAAGTGGCGACGGAACGAGTGGCTTTCGATCTTCGAGGTGGGGTTTCGCCATTAGAGACGCTCCTCCAACTATGCTGTGCTTCTTTGTGTCCTCGCTCATGTTTGTTTCCCTAATTCGGAGATGAATGTGTGTGAGAGAAATAGAGGTGTGTGGGGAAAGGAGAATGAGAATCTGGTTCTTTTGGTTTTTAGAATATAGAATTGTTGTTGTTGTTGCTGCTTTTACTTTTTACTGCCTTGGAGTGTGATTGAATTGATAGTATGGTAAGTGTGGTGGATGGGATGGATGGGGCACTCACTCACACACCCTCAAGTAGACCTACAATCAATTCAACTAAGTCTAACCTTATTTATACTTTAACATTTTATTGGATAATTAATTACTTGAATTTTGTGTCAATTTTATTTGAAAATTTTTATCACAAATTATACACTTTTATATCACATTAAACTATATCATAACAATTTCAAAAATTCATTTCAAACTCCAAACTCATTTGCAAACAGCAATTCCATCGTAACATATATTAATCAAAATCAAAATAACAAATAAATATCTCAAATAAAAATTATGTATCAAAATCTATCAATAGATCCAAAATATTAACATATAAATATCTCAAATGAAAACTAAATATCAAAAGCTTATCAATACATTCAAAAGATTAACATTCTAACAACTTGAACATACTTACAAAATATTAAACTTCCTATGATTATTAAATTCTACTACATTCTACTGACAACAATATACATCACCAACAATATTACCCACCTAGTTTGAAATAAAGGCCTTTTCAAAATAACTATGTGAATATATTTCTTTTATAATACTTAATATGTGCCTAAGGCTTCATTTTATAATAAAGACATGGATTTTTTAAAAGAAGGTATGTAAGGTGGATCATAAAATAGTTAACAAGTGAAAATTGAAGTTTGAATTATAATTCAAGTAATAATATTTTGACTATTTCTCATGTCCCATTCTTAAATAAAAAGTATTGTAAATCGGATACCTTAAAAAAAGTATAAACATGTTTTTGATATTCAAGAAACACACAAGGGTTATGGTTAATAAACGAGACAAGAAAAATAACAAGGAACAATAAGGATTGGTTATAAACAGTTATTCTTTCCTTTCTCTTAAAACAAAATTACAAGTATACAACAATAACAATATAACCTCTCTCACTTGAATTAGGATTTTATCTTCCTATTTTTTCTTATGTCAAGATTGAGAAACTAGCATCCTATTTATAAGAAAAATAGCACACTAACCTAATGGGCTTTTTAACAATTATCCATTAGAAGCTAACTTAGGGTACAAGCTAACTTAAACACTTGGGCTTACAAGCAAGGCCCAATCCAATATGCTAACAACTTAGCAATATTGTCTATGCATGTTAGAACAAACTTCGACTACAACACGCATTATCTTCGACAGCAGCATGCAAACAGACTTCGACCTCATGCTTAATTCCTGTTAAACCAGAAGCTACCCTTCAACCATATTAGAGTTCGATCCAACATATCACAAATCTCCACCTTGAAACAAACTCTATAACATCAAGGAACTAACTTTCTTCATGCAGCTTTATCAACTGTATACAGTGGAAAAACTTGCAACTGGGCAACATCTTGGTGATCATATCAGCAGCATTATAATTTGTCAAAACTTTCAGCACTTGGACTTCTCCACGCTCGATTACCCCTCTGACGAAATGTAGCCTCACATCAATGTGATTGGTTCGCTCATGATAGGCTGAATTCTTCGACATATGCATTCCACTTTGACTATCATATTTGACAATGATAACTCGACCTTGAAGTTTTAACTCCTATGTAAAACCTTCAAGCCACAATGCTTCCTTCACAGCTTCAGTTAGGGAAATATACTTCGCTTCGGTGGTTGATAAGACAACGACCTTCTGAAGTGTACCTTTTCAACTGATTGTTGTTCCAAACATAGTGAACACATATCCAGAAATAAATTTTCTGGAATCCATACAACCTGCATAATCAGAGTCGACATATCCTTCGATTGCTGCTTTACTATCCTCACCCAAGGCTCCACCATAAATTATGACTCTATTTAGAGACCCATTTATGTGCCTTAAAATCCACTCCAATGTTTTCCAGTGAGCCTTTCCAGGATTCGCCGTGTACCTGCTTACAAGACTTACTGCATATGCTATGTCGGGTCTAGTACAAACTATAACATACATCAAAGAACCCACTATGTTAGCATATGGAATTCTATTCATATATGTTCTTTCAACATTAGTGTTGGGACACTGATCTATTCTCAACTTGAATTGAGAGTTTGTTGGAGTCACAACAGACTTTGAATTCGACATACCATACTTTTCGAGAATCTTCCGTAGGTATGCCTCTTGGGATAAGCATAATCTCGACTGCTTTCTATCTCTTCGGATGTCAATCCCAAGAATCCTGGACGCAACTCTCAGATCCTTCATGTCGAACACCTTATTGAGTTCAGCCTTCACCCTCATTACCTCTTTGACATTGTTGCTTGTTATTAGAATATTATCCACATAGAGAAACAAAATAAAAAATGAATTACCCAGTCGAAATCTGAAGTAAAGACAATGGTCGAACTGACTTCTGATGAAACTTATGCTTGCCATGAACTTGTTGAATCTCCTATTCCACTATCGAGGAGATTATTTCAGTCCATATAAGGATCTATTCAGCTTGCACACATAATATTCCTTCCCTTTTTCGACATACCCTTCAGGTTGCCTTATCAGGATTGTTTCATCTAAGTCACCATACAAGAACGCAGTCTTCACATCCATCTGTTCCAGTTCAAGGTCGAACTGTGCCACTATGACAAGCAACATTCGAATGGATTTGTGCTTCACAACAGGAGAGAACATATCATTGAAGTTGATACCTTCTTTCTGAGTGAACCCCCTAGCAACCAATCTTGCCTTGCATCTCTTCGATGCCACTCCTTTGATTCCTTCCTTAACTTTTAAAATCCATTTACAGTTGACTAACCTGGATCCAACAGGTTTCTTGATCAGTTTCCAGGTGTTGTTATCATAAAGAGATTTCATCTCATCATCCATGGCCTTTAGTCATTCAGTCTTATTTTGACTCCTCATAACTTCCTTATAGTTTCTAGGTTCTTCATCTAGAACCTCATTTGTAGAGATTAAGGCATAAGCTATAAAATCTGCATACCCAAGTCTCTGAGGTGGCTTGATGACTCTCCTCGACCTGTCTCTTGCTAGCAGGTAGTCATTATCAGTCTCCTCATCTTCGACAACATCTTCTACGTCTTCTTCGACTTCATCTGGGGTACACAATTCAACATCAACATGATCCACCTTAACAGGAATCTCTCACTGTTCCAGCTCTTCGTCAGCATTATCAGTTTTCTTGAAAGCCGTCTCTGCTTCATTAAAAACTACATCTCGACCGGTGATCCATCTCCTTTGACCTGGCTCTAGGCACCATAACCTATAAGCTTTGACTTCTTCAAGTTATCCCATGAACATGCATTTCAGAGCTCTAGGTTCAACCTTGACTTGCCTAATATGAGCATAGGCCACACAACCAAATACTCTCAGTCTGTCGAGACTAGGTGGATGTCTCGACCAAACTTCTTCAGGTGTCTTCATTCCTAAGGCAGTCGAGAGACATCTATTTATTATGTAAGTTATTGTCGAAACAGCTTCCGCCCAAAACTCCTTCTTCAACCCAGCACTAACCAACATGCATCTAACCCTTTCAAGGATTGTTCGATTGAGTCTCTCAGCTAAGCCATTTTGTTGAGGAGTACCTGCTACATTATTATGCGTTACAATCTCACACTCAACACAGTAACTGTCAAACGCTTCATTGCAGAATTCAAGGCCATTATCGGTTCTCAACCTCTTAACCTTTATGCTAGTTTGAGTTTCGACCAGAATCTTCCAACTTTTGAAATTCTCAAAAGTTTCATCCTTCATCTTCTGAATGAATACCCATAGCTTTCTGGAATAGTCATAAACGATGGATAGAAATTACCTTGCACATGAGTGTGAAGGATTCTTTGCAGGCCCTCAAAGATCAGCATGAATGCAATCCAGGGATCCATGTGTTCTTTGCTTGCCTTTGTTAAAATTTGCCCTACAAGATTTACCAAATACACAAGATTCACAAAACTCCAACTTTTTGACTTTGTCATCTCTTAGCAGGTTTTGCTTCCCCAATTCGACAAGGCCTCTTTCGTTGACATGGCCCAAACTCATGTGCCATAATTCTGTCTTCGACACAGGTCTCGTGGATGCAACATTTGTCGAACCACTTACAACCTCAGCCTCAAAGGTATACAAGCCTTGTTTCTTCACGCCTATTAAGACTTCCTTCGACCCTTTCATGACTCGTAGGATACTTTTTTCTCCTTGAAAAACGTATCCCTTTCTGTCGGATTCACCAAGAGAAATCAAATTTCTCTTCAAGTCAGGTACATACCTGACTTCAGTCAATAACCTTATTGACTCATCATGGAGCTTGAATCTCACAGATCCAATACCTACAATTTTGCAAGATTTGTTGTTTCCCAGCAGCACAGATCCACCATCTTGATCATATAGCTCCTCGAACAATTCTCTGTGTCATGTGCCAAGTGCAACCTGAATCCATAATCCACTATTTTCTCGAGTCGCCACTTGAAACCACAAGAACATCAGATGAGTCAAAGTCATCTTGAACAATGGCTGCATTGTCATTACCTCCATGATCTTTCAGGCATTCAGGGCACACCTTTCTTGTGTGACCCTCCGTTTTATAGTGATAACATCGAATACCAGATGTTTCGCCACTATAAGACTTCTGTTGACTTTTACCTTTCTTCTTGTCAAACTTACCATCCTTTCGCAAGAATTTTCCCTTAACAGCCAAACCTTTGCCCATTGTTGAAGGTTTATGCTCCTTTCGTTCGTTCAAGTCCTTAGAATACAAGGCTGATTGAACTTCTTCAAATTCCAGGGACTCCCTTCCATACAAGAGAGTTTTTCTGAAGTGAGCATGTGTTCTGGGCAAAGCACACAGCAACAACAGTGCTTGATCTTCATCATCGATCTTCAC